TGTGTGAGCATTAAAGTTAGGGCTAGTCCCTGGAAGAGCTTGGAAGTGTTTTTTGGACTATAGCTATTCGTCATGTTGACAATTGTATTTTCTTAGCTTTGTCCCTGAATTCTAATTCTACTTTTCGTCCCATTCCTGACAATCTATGCTGTCAAAAGTCCATGGGCAAAAAGTCTACAGTACCTTTTTTCCAACAGCCTAACCCTGGCTGCAACACAATAATAAGTTGCAACCAGAGTATGAATCAATGGAGCTTACAGAGGTGATGACTTAACCAAATACCCACTGATCCAATGGGTCTATTCTAATTGCATCCTACTATAGTGGTGCCTGGACTTACGACCATAATCGGTTCCATAAGATGGACGTAACTCGAAATGGTCATAAGTCGAAGCACCATTTCCCATAGGAATGCATTGAAATGCAATTAATACATTCTGGCCAAAGGAAAAAAAATCACTAAAAAAATCACTGCAAGACTCATTGGAAACGCGATTAATCCCTTCCAGCCAAGGGGGGGGGGAGAGAAAAGTAATCAAGTGTGCAAGACCCATTGCAAATGCACAGAAAACAAATGGAGCAGATTGTAAATGCACAGAGAACCAAGGGACAAGGTCGGAAATGCACAGAAAACAAAGGAAAAAGCGAGGGAAGCATGCAGGACCCATTGGAAATGGGAACACCCGCAAAAAGCAACCAAACCCCCCAAGACCCATGGGAAATGGGGGAAAACCCAACAAACAAACAACCCCCCAAGACCCATCACAGCACAGGAACATAACCCCCAGCCTAAAACCCCACTGTAAAAACACCCAGAACAGTTTTTTAAAAGCAGAAAACAGCACCTTTCCTTACCTTACAGGCAGTCTTAAACCTCCCTGCAGAGGAGGAGGAGAAGCCAGGCAGTCCCTCCTCGATCACACTCACTATAACCGTTGGGGCAAAAGAGCAACAAAGAAGCAGCCTCTTTCGCCACCTGCCTTTTTTCCCTGCCTTTTTCTGTTTGCAAGTGGACGCTCTGGTCGCAAGTAGAAGCAAAATTTTGCAGCCGGAGCTGTTCGTAAGTCGAATTGGTCGCAGGTAGAGACAGTCATACGTCAACCCACCACTGTAATAGATTTCAGCCCATGTTTTCTTCTAGTACCATGCATAATCTTATCCTACTGAGGGGAAATAACCTGAGGTCAGGATCATATAGTTAATCAACAAACAAAGGATCACTAGCTATCCTTACTCTATTAATTATACAAACAAATTCACCATGCCCAAATTCATTTAATTGTTCTCCCAGCATCCTCTCTTCTGTGATTTAGAAGCTGGATGGATTTTAATCATCCATCCCACATCAACTTTCTCCAATTTACTCATAATTTTTACTTAATCAATTAGCAATAATGTCTCCTGTGAGTTTGCAATAAGAAATGAGTTTAATTGTATAATTTTAACTTTTTATGCCTTATTAACTACTACCATTATTTAAAATTCAATCAGTTTTGATTCAGATTATTAACTAGTGATTATTCACCTATTTAAACACAATACATATTCGGCCTCTTTTGTTGAGTAGGTCCTAAGAGAATGCAATTAAAGCTGTAGCTAAATGTCTATTACTTATTAAAAGCTGATTCTGTTTAAATCACTACATATTAAATCCCCCTGTCTTCTAGTTTGTTGAAGCCAAGAAGAATATGTTCTGTTGTCCATAGTTGTCAGAAGAACTTCATAAATGGAGGCATTTGTCTTTCTCTTATCATCAGAGTGATAACATCCATTCTCTTTTCCATTACATACATTTCTCGCTGTTCATCTAGAACTATGATTGATAATCTGTGTTTAGCCTTTCCACAAATTATATGCTGGCCTGCTATAATAAAAGGAACCTAAAATTCAGCAAAATCTAGATTTGTAAGGTGACATACAAATAAAAATTTAGTTACAAGAGAATTAAAAACAACCCAAGCACTAACATTAAGTAAATAACTTGTAGTAAAATAATATCATCATAGCCGTAACAGAATCATGTCAATAATGATAGATCAAAAAAATATATTAGAAAATATAACAGCAACAAAAACCCTGCCTGTGAATCAAACTGGAAGTTAAAGGGAATGTGTATTCCTTACAATTAACCTATTTTTCCTCCTCCAACAATTTCATCAGTGATTTCCTCAGAGGTATGTTTGTAATTGGACTTGAAAACATACACATGCTAAACATAAGATATGTGGGTAAGAAAAATCATATGCTATGACAAATAGACCCTTTTCATCACTTGAGGAGGAAACTTGGATTACAGATGGAAGAATTTGAGGGATGGGATTGGATTACTACTCCCAAAATACTTGAGTAAAAGCAGGATCACTGAACATTCTGGGAGTCAGAGTCCAAAGAAGTTATTTTTCCTATCTCTGGGGTTGACCTAACAGTGTCCTACTTCAAAGGCACTTCTTGACAGGCTCTTTCATACTTTCAGAGCTACAGAAAACCTTCTGTACCTCACTTGTGTTAGCGATGAGACAAGAAGGAGAAGCATAGAAATAGCACAGATTTTAGTGATTCCCCTTTGAAAAGGTCTTTTCTGCCTTACAGCAAATTGGCTTCTTCAGGTTGCTTCCGGATTTCATGTCTTGCCTAAAATGTGGCTCCACTTTAACGACTGCTGAGTAGTACTTTGGAATCCTCTGCCACCTTTGTCACATGCAGCCAAATGCCTCAGGTGGAGCACTAAGTGGATGTTGAAAAGATTTCTCCAGTCCCCAGAAGGGATTGTAAATGAGGCCAAAACTGTAGCTGGATAGCAGTAAAGAGCAAATGCTTCAGTTCCCAAAGTTTCACGTTTTCTTATCCTCATCCTATCTCTTTGTTGCTTCATTTTGATGTAGCTCTTACAGAATCAATGAGAAAATCCCAACAGAAACATGAAGTAGGTGCTACTGAGATAATTCTGCCAGTGCAATACAGTGTTATACTGAGACTTTCTACATCTAAAGATGGCCGAGGCCAGTTTAGAGCTGCTTCTGTGGAGTTAAGTTCTTGCCCAAATATATAAAAAGATAAATAAATAAAGGAATACCTCACAGACTAGTACTAAGGCCTGTAAAAAGCTGAATTGAACTAAATTTGCTCTTGCAATTGTAATGTACATTTTTTTACAATTCCTGTATTTCTAATTTTATCACTTTTGTAGCTCTTTTGAAATTTTCCATAACTTGGTTATATATTATAATTTGTTATCTCAGTACTTACTTTAGATATACTTTCCCTTGAAGTTTAAAATCCCCTTGAAAATTCATACATATTTAAATTGTCACAGATGTTAGTGCTGTAGATGCGAATAATATAAAAGAACCTTCCTCCTGGCTTCCCCTTTCTACAACAAAAGAACTCTTCACTTATCTTTACTGTCATGTGCATATCTGCACCATAAATATGTAAGTTTTATGCCCATTTATACAACTGTCTCTTCTGAAGAATTCTTGAACATTTTAATTTCCCTAGACTTGGGTTAGTGGACATCAAGATGAATAGAAACAATATCACTCCCTTCAAAATACTAAGAATATTCCATACAATACAGATTATTTGATTTACATACATGTCAGTCCTAAACTCTTTATAAAAAGCACCTAAGAAAAAATATTTAACATCTATAGGATATGGATAAAAGGTACACTTTTTGTTATTTACACCATCCTGGTCTCTTTTATATATACATAGCTATAGGCTTGGGGGATGACAGGTGTTGTAGTCCACAGTCTCTGGAGCATATCACATTGTATGTCATGGTTGGAGGAATTTTCCCAATCTTGAAGTAACCCTTTAAAAATTAATTTTAGGGAGTAAAATTCAAGGCTTGGTGGGAATAATTTAAATTTATCCTTGGCTTCTGAGTGAAATTTAAGTGTAAATTCAAGAGGTACATTTCTAGTCAAGGCATAAAGGACTTCATCTAATTGCTGGGGTGCTGGGACACTGCCTTCATCACTGTGTGATGCTGATGCTGATACATTAGTGCTGAGGGAAAAGTTTTACTAGGGATATGGAGCTTTGGCAAAACTAGCAGATTCATTTGAAAGTGCTTTCAGGGTATTCCCTGCAATGAGAGGTACTGTTCTTGTGAACTGGGAGGAACTGAGTTGCTGGTACACATGTATTTATATTGCCCTTGCTACTCAGAACCTCACACTTAATATCTGGGCTCAATATTGTTCAAGGTAAGAGGGTGGTCAGATATAGACAGAATGCATTTTGTGTTAAATAACAGGGTGGAAGACAGAGTGGATAAAGTAGCATGCTTCTTAGCACACATAGTGAACAGGCCAAAAATAGCACATTTTGAACCAGAGCTCCCTGCTTGAGCCAGGTTCATGGTTCCTCTGATATAATCAATAGACTAATTATGACAATAACATTACTATTACTATTACTATTACTATTACTATTACTATTACTATTACTATTACTATTAGTAGTAGTAGTAGTAGTAGTATTAGTATTAGTATTAGTATTAGTATTAGTAGTATTAGTAGTATTAGTAGTATTAGTAGTATTAGTAGTAGTATTATTAGTAGTATTATTAGTAGTATTATTAGTATTAGTATTAGTAGTATTAGTATTAGTATTAGTAGTATTAGTAGTATTAGTAGTATTAGTAGTATTAGTAGTATTAGTAGTAGTAGTAGTAGTAGTAGTAGGTACATAGGATGGGGTGGAGAATGTGTCTTGGGGCATAAATAGTAAAACTACATTGAATATGAACAAACTTTGATATGGTTCCAGAAAGCTGCAAACAAGGTTTACTGAATGTAGTTTTGATTAGGTGTTTTGTGTATGCCAATAAATGTTTGATTGATTGATTTGGAAGTGTTCATAAAAAGCAGTTACTGTATGTAGCTGGTTGAAGCCAATATCATGTGGCTGGAACAAAAAGAAAAGAGTCTTTACTCAGTCTTTGCTAAGATCTAAATGAGTTTTAGGGATTTTTACTACTTACAAACAGCTTATGTATATAGGGATACATGTAGGTTCTAACTGTTAGCATATTGTCTTTAGGTGAGGTGTCTTTGCAGAAGAAGCAATCTCCAGGAACTCACATATGAAGCTCCTTGCTGGATTCAAAACAGGGAGAGAGAGGAAAAAAGACAAAAAAATTATGAAGCAAGTGAGGAAGAATGGAATTTTCTACTTTACATGTCATGATAGCCCTAAAGTTCTGCCCTAAAGTTGGGCACCTGGAATGTTCGGACAGTGACCACTGGCCTTTCTGACAAGGGCTTTTCTGATGATGTCAGAAAAATAGACAACGTGGGCAAGACAGCTGTCATCAACATGTAACAGAGTAGACTGCAGATGGACATTGTTGCCCTGTAAGAGACGAGATTGCCAGACTCGTGATCTGTCAAAAAAACACAAAAACCTCATTCTTCTGGCAGGGAAAACCACTGAATGAGACCAGGGAATATGGTGTTGGCTTTGCAGTCAGAAATACTCTGCTGAGATCCATTGTTCCATCTATTGTGGGGAGTGAAAGAATCCTGTCTCTGCAGCCCCACTCATCAGTGGGACCAGTCACCCTCATTAGTGCATATCATCATCATCATAACCTTTATTGGCATTAAAGTGCATATGCACCAACACTGTCATCCACAACAAAAGTGAAAGACAAATTCTATGATGATCTGGCAGCTACTATCAAAAATGTCCCTGAGAGAAAGCCACTGTTCATTCTCAGAGACTTTAACGCTAGAGTTGGTGCTGATCACACTTCTTGGCCCACTTGTCTAGGTCGTTTTGGCATTGGGAAGATGAACAAAAATGGCCAACGCTTGCTGGAGTTTTGCTGTTATTATGGTCTTTGTGAAGCAACACATTCTTTAATACGAAGCTTCAACACAGAGTTTCCTGGAGACATCCAAGATCCAAGCATTAGCATCAGCTCGATTTGATCCTCACTAGATGTTTTAGCCTTCCTAGTACAATGGATCCTCGACTTATGGAATTAATCCGTATTGGAACAGTGGCCGCAGGTCGAAAAGTCTGTGGGTTGAGGGTCCATTTTCCATAGGAATGCATTGAAAACCCATTAATCCGTAACCGTTCTGATGCAAATGCACCTGAACGATGGTGTGGCAGAATGCCCAAGTCATGCCTGTCCGTCATAAGGAGCTCTAGGTCAGGAGCCTATGGCAGGACAGGAGAGGCGGAGTCAATAGAACAGTTAGAGAGAAGGAGGTTTTGAAGTTCATTTCTCATAGGAATGCATTGAAAACCGATTAATCTGTAACCGGCCGAAGAAAAAATACCCCCCCACACATACAAAAAAAAGAAAATAAATGTAAAAATCAGCACCTTACCAGTCCAAAGGGGTCCCTCGCTGCTGCCAAAGCCCTCTGAGGGCTTCCCCGCCGCTGCTGGAGGCCTCACGGGGGTCTCCGCTTGCCACCATCGCCACTGCCAAAGCCCTCCGAGGGCTTCCTTGCTACTGCCGGGGGTGTCTTGCACAGCTCTGTCATCAACCAAGAAAATTACAAATACACCTGATTCTGTTCATATGGCAATTTTTTTTTCAAAGACAATACAGATCTTTAATGGGGAGAGGGGACGACATGATAGAAATGTATACAATGTTTCTTCTCCTCCCTTATCAAGTGAAATAAATGGTAGACGACTACAAAGAGAAAGGGGGGTGACAGTTATTTATATTCATCACATAACTCGACAATAACATTTGCTGCTACAATAGCAAACCCAGCTCTGCTGTGAGTCTGGTGCAGTTAGTCACCTCAGGCAGCAGAACACCAGGGGTGACAAATTCAATTGCAACTACCTTTACTTCTCTGGGGAGTTGTCACTGTGGCCAGCTCTCAAGACTTGCTTATTTCAACAATGCCTCGCTCTGAGGGGTCCCTTTAGAGAAGGCATTATAGAAATGTTGAGCTGAAAGGTTTTGTGCTTTTTTGCTCTCCAGTCCCGTAGCGCTCCTCATAGTTTGTTGACTCTGAAGACCTCTCAGAGAGTTGCCTTATTAAAATAGTCATGCTATGTAGAGTTCTACTGGGGAGTAAGGCAGTTGAAGGAGTTTGCTCTGTGGGTGTCATAATGCCACCTCTTTCTCCTCCTTTATTTCTTCTTATGGTGGCATGCAGGGGTTCTGATGTCATCAATGATGTTGCCTCCTCTTCCTCTCTTTATCCTAAAGTGGGGGTGCATGAATGCTGCCACCACTTCCTCCACTACTGCACATACTAGGGGGGTGATGTTACCTCCTCTTCCTCTTACCCCTCCTCCTCTAGGCAGGTCAAGGGAAGAGTTATTTGTGGAAGATAAGTGTGTGTCAATAGTGCTCCCCATGGTTAAATGTTATTTTCATTATTAAAAGTGTTGTACCTCTGAACTGTAGTTGCTAGGAAAAGAAAACAATATTGTGCAAGTGTCTTGATTGTGGGTTTCTCATAGGCACCTGTCTATTTGTGGTGGGAACAGAAGCCTGTACTAGATGGGTATTTGGTCTGATGAACCTTGGCTTTTTTATGTTCTTCTGTTTTGCTCTAATGTTTATTTCCCCCCCCCTGAAATTCTTATGTAAAAAGACAAATTAAAGATTTCTCAACCTTTTTCAGTAGAAGCCCCTGGCTTAGAGATTCAAAATAAAATCTAGTGACGTTACCAAGCAAACCTTATTCAGTATCTATATTTGGCTTCTTCTCTAAATTCCATTTGTTGCCATGGCAAAGTAAGCTCCAGTGAATTTTTCTTGATTCTAAACTAAGAAGCTTTTCTTCATGTCCTTTGTGACACACAATGGGTGTACGCTATACAAATTTAGCTTTAAAAAGCAAGGAGGAAGGGGAGGGTGGAACAGGTTTAACAACAGGGCCATTTTCCAAATACACTTTTAAACTGCAACATGCTTAAAAGATTACAAGCCAATCAAAATGTTCAGGGAAAATCATGTCCCTAGGGGAATAAACCATTGCAAAATGTTAGTGTGGAAATCATGTACGTGTACCCTTTTACATTTTAAAAAATTCCTCGGACAGTTAGATTTTAGAGAAAGGGGTTGTATATTAACTTGATCCTTGATATTTCAAATACTCATGGCCTGGAAATTTTACAATGGGGAGATGTCCACATAATGCCATCTTGTATCAAATATCTGAAAAGATGGAAGAAGCTACAGAGAACAAAGATACATTTTGTGTTCTCTCCTGCTTTCTTTCCCCCCTCCTACACTCTTGTCCACCGGGCATGCATTTTCTTGCATGATGGAGTTTCATGCAACTCTCCTACACTCTTGTCCACCGGGCATGCATCTTCTTGCATGATGGAGTTTCATGGTGCAGTGGTTGAACTGCAGTATTGCAGTCAAGACTCTGCTCACAACTTCAGTTCGATCCCGACAGGTTCAGTTAGCCGTTTCAAGGCTCACTCAGCTTTCCATCCTTCTGAGGTCAGTAAATTGAGTACCCAGCTCACTTTGGAGGGGCAGGAATGTGTAATCTGCATAATTAAATTGTAAACTGTCCAAAGAGAGCTTTAAGCTCTACAGGGTAGGTACATAAGAGGCGCATTTTGCTTTTAAGGTGGATACATTAATGTGTAGCTCTGGCCAAACAGAAGGTCTCTGCAAGGTGCACCAGCATCACACATATTTTAAAAATACTGTACATGTTTTGGTCTCAAACCTTAGGGTTCTAATGCATATGGATGTAGGCATATGTTGAAAACACTGCATGTGAAGTGGCCCACAGTGAGATCTAAATGGATGAAAACGCAACTAATGGCACTAATTGCTGTCAAAGCTTTTGCTGCCCCAAACAAGGCATGCAGAGAATCTCCCCTCTGCTTTGGCAAAATAGCTCGTTGGAAAAGTCTTGAAGATTTACAAGGAATGGATGATATCTCATACAGTGGCCAAGCTTTCTGGGATTCTCCCTCAAAACAAGTTTGTCATGTGTGTGTTATGTACTCTCAAGTAAAAACTAACTTGTAGCAACCCTAACAGGGCTTTCAAGGTTAGTGAGATATTTTACCATTGTTACACCCCAGTGGATTTCCATGGCCAATCAGGTATTCAAACCCAGGTCACCTGAGTCTTTCCACTGCACTACATCATACTGGGCATTTGGCATTATGCAAAGCCCCCCCAAAAAACAAGTGCACACATATACACATATGCTCACATAAATAGTTAATATGTTTGGTTTCCAATATACTGTAGTATTTGTTGATGACAGTAAGGTACATTTCAAAGTAAGGCTTCAAAGAAATGAGTGGGTGAGCAGTGATTTCTTTACAGGCAGCAAAAACTTTTATGATCTTTTCACTTAAGCCTAAATAGTTATGTATGATTTAATGTACGGACTGTGGGTGTTAAAAATGCATCAGATGAACAAGAATAGTTATTTTTAAAATTAGGAAGCTTTTAACTGCTTATGACGATTACCTTCCTTAAATAATAATTTCATTAAGCTGCCCCATACACATTGAGGACCTGCCATGCCCATAATCATGGGCACAGGCTGATATTTGAGAGGATTTCTTAAGCATTATGAGGCTGATAGGTATTGCAAAAAGCCCACCTTATGCCAGAACAGATGGGCGGGTTCTGCGAGCATTGTTTGGAGCACTCCTGCTAGGTGTGTGGGGGAGTGCAACAGATAGTTTTAAAAGAATCCATCAGGAATTTTCCTATTTTAAAAACATCTCATTCTTTAGAGGGTTACAATTATGTCAAAAACAGACTGTTTCCAAAGAGATTGTCAGGTGGGAAGCATAATCACTATTGGTGGGCAATTATTCCTCTATTCCCAAACATAGACCGTGCTGACTGACATATATACTGACATGGAATTCTGCCCAAATTGGCTATGGTGTAGGTCAAGGGTGTGCTACCTTTCCACTCAAAGGCTGTGTGTGGTGCTTGCTCTCTTAGCAGGCCACAGATATGCCGAGAAACACATGTGCAAATTTGGTCACATCCAACAATCTTCTTTGCTAATAAGGAGAAAATAGAGAATCTTCTATTCTCTCTTTTCCACAGTATGAAAAGAGCTTGGGAGGGAGGGAAGAAAAGCTCTACCTTCAATGAGTCAGAGAAACTCTTGGCTGAAAAAAAAACTCTTCAGTTCCTGCCCTTTTTAACTTTAGCATTTTCAGCTTAAAGGAAATTTCACATGATCCCACAGACACAATGAAATTGCTTGAAACAGTTCTGCATACCGGCTGTCTGCAACTGACGTATAAATTGGTCTGAAGCTGAAGAGAGATTAACGGCTTCACTGGTGGATCTTTTATTGTTTCCCAAGTGTGTATCTTAAGTGATTGACGCCGCTTGTGTTATTTTCTGTTAAGTCACTTCTGACTTAATGGCAGCCCTAACAGAGTTTTCAAGGTATGTGGGATGTTCAAGGAGTGGTTTGTCGTTGCCTTTCCCCAGTGAGGTTCCAAAGCAAAGTGGAGAGTTTCCAAGGCTGAGTGCGGATCCACCACAGATCCGGGTCTCCTGAATAATAGTTTATGACACCACATTGGCTCTTTTAATAGGTACAAGGGCTTCTTGGCACAGTGGTTAAACTGCAGTACTGGAATGGAGATTCTGCTCATGACCTGGGTTCAATCCCGAGCTCAGGTTACTGGCCCCATATTGACTCAACCTTCCATACTTCCAAGATGTGGGGAAATTGTATGCTTTTACAATGTATATATCTGTGGCTATAGCAGACATTGTGCTAAGCGTGCAAATCACGTACACAGCAGTAAGGATGATTCATTAACCTGCTTTGGTATCTAGGATAATTATCTGGCTTTGGGTAAATTGTATTAACTTACTTGTGTATTTAAAGTGTTATCTGTCTATGTTTACCCTGCTCTGTATTCAGGAATGTTTCCCCTGCTTGTGTATTTAGGATTTACGTGCCTCTGTTTACCGGCCCCTCTGTTTAGCATACTTGTGTACTCAGGATATTACCTGCCTGTGTTTAGAATGGTCCCTGGTTCACTAGTGCAAAGGTAGTAGAGAACAATAAAAGGGGGGCGCGGTGACGGATAGGAGAATTCCCATTGAACAGCGTTGCACAGCATGCTGTTTTTTGTTCATCCGGACCCCGCCCTGAAACACACACTCGAGTGCCTCGCCTCTTCCTTTCTCCTTGCTGGTCAAGAGGGGGGAAAGGCTTCATCTGCAGATCCCTACAACTAGGCTTCATCTGCAGATCCCTAAAAGTTTCATGTGCAGATCCCGACAAAAGGTTTCATCTGCAGATCCCTACAACAAGACTTCATCTGCAGATCCCGACACCAAGATCAGTAAATTAAGTGCCCAGTTCACTGGGCAGCCTGCATAATTAAATTGTAACCCATCCAGAGAGTGCTTTTAAGTGCTGTGTGGTAGTATATAAGCAGTGCACTTTGCTTTAAAGTTAGGTTTTAATTACAAGGAAATGTTTTTAATTTTGTATTTCAATATTGTTCACCACCTAACTGAAAAAGCATGGTATGGTATAATTGAATACATAAATGACAATTGTTCAAATTTTTAAAATTAGGGATAGGGAAGTTTTCTGCCAGCTCAGAAGTGGCTGTACCATTATTTTATGGTTTATAGAGATGGTCAATCCCAATCCCAAAGAAGGGCAGTGCCAAAGAATGCGCCAACTACCATACAAATGCACTCATTTCACACACGCCCACAAGGCTATGCTCAAAATCCTACGAGGTAGGCTTCAGCAGTATGTGGACCAAGAACTCCCAGACGTAGAAGCTAAATTTCGAAGGAGCAGAGGAACTAGAGACCAAATCGCTAACATGCGCTGGATTATGGAGAAAGCCAGAGCATTCCAGAATAAGATCTACTTCTGCTTCATTGACTATGCAAAAGCCTTGGACTGTGTGGACCACAACAAACTATGGCAAATTCTTAGAGAAATGGGAGTGCTTGACCACCTTATCTATCTCCTGAGAAATCTATATGTGGGACAGGAAGCAACAGTTAGAACTGGATATGGAACAACTGATTGGTTCAAAAAGGTCTACGATAAGGCTGTATATTGTCTCCCTGCTTATGTAACTTATATGCAGAATACATCATGTGAAAGGCTAGACTGAATGAATCCCAAGCCAGAATTAAGATTGCCGGAAGAAATACCAGCAACCTCCGATATGGAGATGATACCACTCTGATGGCAGAAAGTGAGGAGGAATTAAAGAACCTTGTAATGAGAGTGAAAGAGGAGAGTGCAAAAAAACGGTCTGAAACTCAACATCAAAAAAACTAAGATCATGGCCACTGGTCCCATCACCTCCTGGTGAATAGAAGGAGAAGATATGGAGGCAGTGACAGATTTTGCTTTCTTGGACTCCATGATTATTGCAGATGGATAAATAAATATTCAATAAATACTGTTATTTATAAATAAATATTCAATAAATACTGCTATTCATATGCAGGAAGCACCCTGAGAAACGTAAGGCATCCCCCAATATGATGGTAGTGGCCTGGCCAGATCCCTCTCCTGGCATGGCAGCTCCATGTGGCAGCCAAGGAGGTGCTGGGATATGCCAAGAGGCTGACGTGGTTTGGAAGAGGTCACAGCAGTGTACTGTGTTAGATGGGGAGGAGGAGAGATTGTGTCTCAGTTTTTTCCCTCTGCTAGAGGCTTTTTCTATCCTTTAGCTGCCTTTAAAGTG